TTCTTCCTCTTCTACTTGATTATGGTTTAGGGAGTATCTACAGGCATAATTTAGAGAAAATTGATAAATATGAGAAATGAGTCTTATATTTAGGATCAAAACTAACTTAACAATTGGGTCCTATATTAAGAACCGGAGGAGTAACATTTTTAGATTTTAGGTATAATTACAAATTGCTGATTAAGGATATCCTCATAATAATAATGGAATTTGAGTTTATGCTTTTTGTGGGGTATGAATTGTATAATTGTCAACAAAACTTGCTTTACATCTGTAGATTCTTGGCCTCTTATATAATAGAAGGGGCAATCAACGAAGAACAACTTGTGGGTTTGAAACTCCCGAGAAAAAGAAACCCGCATTGATTGGCCACTATTAGCCAATGAAGATCTTTTTAGTTTTTATTTATTGTCATTTTTTCACCTTTCTTTTCCTTTCCTGTTGTCTGTTTTCATATATTTTCGTGAAAATGAAATCCTAAATCTTATTAATAGAATTTCATAAGTTGAGACAAAACTCTTTTTATATAGTTATATCAGACTTCATAAAATTATTTTTAAAAAGCTAATCCAAACATTTTTTTTTTGTTGAAATCAAGTGACTTCAGTATTTATTATCCCTTCAAAGTAAGGGTCCAAGTGGCTTGATTTGGACAACATATTGGAGCCTAACTAGGCTTCTTTATTTGATTTCACACCAAATACTGAAAACAAAAACTATTTTTTTTTTCATCTAATCAAGTGTCTCAACATTAATGATCCTACTGCCGCCATCTCTCAGTGTAATAATGGATGAGTTCAGTCCTATTTTAAATAAATATCACAATAAAACAAAATAAAGTTTTTCTTTTAAAAATATCATATCGAACTTCTATATATATATATATATATATATCACTGATTTTTCACTTGATTGTGCATTTCAAGTGTTTTAGTCGATCACGTTAGGTGATCACTTTTCATAACCTTTTGCCCCCTTTTTCAACTTTGCGCGTTAAATATTTGTGTAAAAAGAATAACTAAAATTTGACTAAATTTCATCCTAGAAAGATTGAGAAATATCCATTTTTCAAATGACCGGTAAAGATAAAACATAATGCAAATATGTTCTCCCACTATTTATTTACTTTTTTCTTCCTGTAATTTATTCTGAAAGGGGACAAATTAACGTGGGTTTTTATTTATTTAAACCACGTTCACATGACTAACCTAAGTCATTGAGCCATCTATTTTAATTAAATAGGTAATTTATTTTTATACTTTCTGAGTCAAATTCCTATACTTTTTTTAATACACTGAGAACGTTTAAAGGGAAAATGACAAAAAAAGAAGTTAGAAATTACTAAATGTTAAATAAGGAATGTTAATAAAAATTTGTTGTCATTTGCAAATTTAGTATTGTGAATACCAAATAAAGTATTATTATTAAATCTGATTTAGAATTTAGTAATTTTTAGCTTTTTTTTTGGTTATTTTCTCATGTTTAAATCATTTCTAACTACTTATGTCACATCTCATCTTTATTATCAGAATCAAGTCTTGATTATAATAATTATCATTTATGAAAAATACTTTTTACATTGTTTACATTTTATATTAGTTAATGATCACCCAAGAAAGTTTACCCATTCCAAAATATTCATCTGGATATTATTCTTATTAGATTACAAAAAGCATATAATTAACTAATTTTTTACGTTACTTTGTAAAGTAAAGCTTTCAACCATTACATCAATAGGCCTTTTTATTTTTAATTGGGGACTATTTCATTTAAATCTCACATATGAGATTTAATTCTTAATGGGAGCCAAAAGATAAAATTTCAGTTCAGTTTTTCTTGGAAAAAGATGAAATTAAAAATTTACAAGAAATTTGACAGAAACAGCCCTTTTAATTGAACCATATTTAATGTGAGATTTTTTTTAACCAATACTCAATAAATTACATTTTAATCATTTTTTTCCCAATAAGAAATCCCAGTAAAGCATTGTCAATACATTACCATGTGGGAAAAAAAAAGTGAATGTAGTTGAAGCGTCCATTGGAATCGATGATTGAAGACAGGAAATTTAGATAATAAGACAAATTGTTTTGGTTTTCCCATAGTACTCGTGAAGGTATAGGAACACTCACGAGTGGACCACTATGTGACTCTGTTTTTTTTAAAAATTATATATATAAAATATAACACAAATTTTAATATTTATATGATCCTAAAAGAATTGAAAATTCGGATCGCCATGCCCCTATATCATTTATAAGTATATATAAAACATCAGTGGATGGTGTGTAGGAACCCAAATGAGAATGTGGCACAAAGAGTTGAAAAGTTCTAATTAAACATTCCATTCATGACATCATGCGAGTCCCACTAAATTTATAAAAATACAAATTGGTTTATTTCCATAAAATGCCATGTTTTTTGTTATCTAAATATATCTCATAAGGGAATCATAAAAGTTTGGTCCCTTTTTTTAAATGAATCTAATTCTAATCCCCTCCCTACCACAATTTAAAAGGAAAGGAAAAAAAAATTCCGATCCTTCTCTTCTAAATCAAGTTATACATATATGCTTTTTCCGTTTCTCAATATAGGGTGTAATAGAGAGATTTGTTTTCATTCTAAATGTAATACTTCAATTTATTTAATCTCTTAAATTTGTAATTTATTTGTTAAGTTCTTCTTATTGATTACGCATATATTAAAAGAATTAATTTAATAAATTAATCAACCTAACAACTAAGTATTCTTAATTAACAAAACAGATAAAAAGTACCATCAATGAGGTTTATTCCAAACAAATCATATAAAAAAATTATCAAATTTTATTACTTTCCTACAATTTTCCCAAAACGTCGTCAACCCTTTAATATTAAAACATGAGACCGAATGAAAAGTAAAAAAAAAAAAATCGTTTGAAAACAATGATAAAAATAAATAAAAATGATTAAATCCTATAATTACAAAAAACATGTGAAACTTTTAAGAAAAAAAATTTCCTTCATTGTATATCTGAACTCTTCCTCATTCCAATCAAATTTTACACTCACTAAATTTTGTGGTTACTCATTGAATTTCCATTCAAATTTTTAATTTAAGTTTTTTTTTTTGGATACAAGAGAAGGCTTAGAGCCTGAACAAGGAATAACTAAAACCACAAAACAAGTAGGAGACAAACACACACACACACACAATATCTTAACCCAAACAAAGGAAAAACCAACGACCGTATATAAATAAATATATATAAATATATTGAAGTCAATCTCGAAAGTCATTGAGATTTATCCCGATAAAAATATCTCAAATGCCCCAGATAAAAAACGATTGGTTGGTGTTGGGATATTGTAATGTTTGTTAAGGAAAAAGAAGAAGGTTGTGAGACCCTAGTTGGTCTGTTTGGCTGTTTTCTATTGGAAGACCTGATAGCACACCCGGATTGTGTCCACAGAGGATCCAAGGCCAAGTTTGTCTCTTACAGCACGTGACGTGTAATATGATCAACACTTAATCATTTTCTACATAACTAAAATTAAATATAAAATTTATAACAGGTGAGTTCATATATTTTTTGAACATTAAGAGTACATATATGTAAGGCTTATGAATTGAATTATTATAAAGTAGTTATTCTAAAGATAAGAGTTCTTCCTGCTCAAATACGAACATAAGTGGATAGTATTTGAATTAATTATTTAATTATAAATTGAATGGTACCTCATATTTCTATTTTATATATATATATATATATATATATAGTGCAATGTATTTGACACTTTTCTAGTAATTTAATAATTATCTTATTATGACCAACCTTGAAATTGAGCCTATAAAGGCCAAACCATTGGGGCAGAGTGTACACTGTGAGGCCTCCTCATTCACAAAAAGAAACTCAGCTCTTCTTTTCTCTTTCTTTCTATGGCTTCTTCTTCTTCTTCTTCTTCTTCTAATCCTCTCATCTCTGTGGTTTTTCTTTCGCTGGTTTTCTTCTTCTTCTTCTTTTCTGAGGACAAAAGCTTTGTCTCTGCAACAAGAGAAGAACAAAGTGAGCTTCAACATACTCATCATCATCATGTTTCTCTCACTTCTCTCCTTCCTTCTTCCTCCTGCACCTCTCCTCCTCCAGGTTCTCTCTCTAACCCCCCTCTCTCTACATAAGGATTGTTTAATTAATGACATCATGCATGGTGTTGATTTGATTGCTTAATTATAACTACTTAATAGTATACTCATGAGTTAGAATGATTAGTGATGATGTATGGTTTCTCAGCTTTTCATTTCAAACCCAACTGGCTGAAAAGGCTTGTAGTGGAAGTAATCATTGGGATTATTTATCTATTAATTAATATTTATTATGGTTTGGTTATGAAATCAAGTTCTCTGAGAGACGTGTCTCCAGAGTTTGTGCAAAAGGGCAAGTTATGGATTATAATTCTGAGTTAATATCACCCTATAATTTTAATTATTTTTTATAATTTCTAAGCTAAAAAATTTATATATGGTATAGGAACTGCTATTTTAATAAATTAAAATTATTATAAATACTAAATTGAGTCGAGTCAAAATTTAAGAAAGAGTTTTAGTTGAGTTAAGAATACGGAAAATAAATGATTAATTTTTTTCTATTTAAAATAACTGGTTAGCAGCATATTATAGACAATAAATAACCTTGGAGAGCCCGTGATCGCTTGTTGTCTAGAGAGAAATTTTGGAAGTTTGGATGGACTCTGCTTTTTTGTTTTGTTTTCACATACAAATATTTCCTCAATGTTTCTTATTTAATTTTAACAGTTTATACTATTATTGTTGGTCCTTATTTTTATTTTAATATAATGCAATTAGACACGCCCACGTACAAATATATTAATACGATGTTTAAATTCAGAAACTCATCCAAATATAACGAATACTAGTGGCATTAGGACAACTAGCACTTCTCATTAATTGTCATGTTTATAAGCAAAGAGGATTTAAGTTATATGATCTTTTTTTTTAAAAAAAATTTCTACAAAGCTGCGTAGTTTTTTTTAATGTATCTTTTTTTTTTTCGGGTTCGTCCAGAGAATATTTGTAATTATATAAATGGTCCTCTGAGGTCCTTTTCTCAAATATTATTTGTATAATATAACAGTTTTAGGTCACGTAGATAGAATATTCGCTCCTTGCTTTGGGCATGAAAAAGCTTTAAAACCTGGGCCAGCTGTCCCACCCATTGAGGTGCCTACAAGCCAGCGAAGGGATTAGTCACTGGGTCCGCCGGTAGATACCCTGATGTTTCATCAAAAAAAAGAATATTCGCACGTGGTACCCACCACCACATATTATAGATAGACAGATAAAGTAGCATCACCTATCATTCACATATTCATTCCATCCCTTATTAATTCACTGATCCATTACGAAACAAAATAAAATTCATTTTCACGTTCTTCATTATTTGTTTCTCCTTTAATTAATTTTAACATACATACGTTCTTTAATTATATTTTAGTTTATTTATTTTCCTGGCCGAAATTTGAAAGTTTCCTATTTTCTTCATGGTGTTGACGAAGTTAAAAGGCTGACTTGATAGGTCAATTATGATTGATAATTATTATTGACTCAAGGGGCTGATCATAGTATCACGGAAATTTCCCTTCCTTTATGCAATTCAAATAATTTGGGAAACAAAATAAATTAAGTTTATTAAAGTTTTCAATCCCACTTGATTTTTTCATATTTGTGTTTTAATAATGTTTTACACGATCTTGGAATTATAAGAAGGGGTTGAATTATTAATTAATAATTTCAGATAATTGATTAATTAATTAGCATGTATTACTGAAAAAAGTTCGTTTAAGAATTGTATCATAGTCATCATTGCATGATGAGCTTTTAAAACTGTTGACAATAACTAGTCTTGGAAAATTAGGTGGTCGGTAGCTTTCGGTTCTACATTATTATTATTATTATTATTATTATAAGGACCATCGCCATCCACCAGTGATTTTCCACCAAAAAAAGCAAGAAAAAGATGAAGATTTTTGTAACTACTTAGGGTTGATTGCTAATTAATTAATTTCTCTTTTGATGTGCCCCACATAATTATATATATAGAAGATTGTTACGGGTTGGTATATAATTTGTGCTTAAGTACCTTTACCAACTTGATTTAGTGCTCATTGTTAGGTAATTAATTAAACACACAACACTTATTTATTAATTTTAACATGCGCATGCAATATAACTAAATTATAAATATAATATACTACCTCCGGTTCTTAATATAAGACTTCGTTTGACTTTTATTTTAATCCTAAATATAGACCCAATCAATTGTCTATTATATTTATCTATTTTTTTAATGTAGTCTTTGTAATTATAATAGTTCTAGCCAATATACTTGATTAGTAAGGATATTTTAAGAAAGATAATATCTATTTATTATAAATAACTAACTTAACTAACTTTCTTAATCTACTCAAATTAGTCAAGTAACTTTTATATTAAGAATTAGGTAGTAATATTGCTTTTGTACCTAACTGATATTATTAGAACCCCTACCCACTTCAACTTGTTGGGCGAAGTGCACAATTTGATTATCTCATTTGGAATTACTTTTGCTATATTTATCTTTTTTAATGTGACAACATTACTACAAATTTAATTTGCCTCTTAATATTCTCTCACATCATGCATTTACATTATGGTATTTATTTTATCTTTTTAAGTTAAAATAAGATATAAATAAATTAATTCTATTTTAAAATAGATTAATAAATTTATTTTTATTTCAAAATTTTCATCTATCAAAATAAAGAAGCATTTCAAAAATACAAGAATAAAAATAAAAATAAATTTTTATCATTCTAATTTAATTTGAACAATTCAAATTAGTTAATGCTGGGCATTCTATATATGCTCATCATTGATTTAACTCCTTACGTTATAATTTAGGGCGTGTTTCTTCAAAATAAAAGCCATTTTTTTGCATATTATATACAAATATTTTTTTGGATGTTTTATGTTTTATATTTTATATTTTATATTGATATTGATAATTATTAGCATGTACATGTAGTATAAAGAAAATTGACAAACAGTTTCCTATATTTTTGTTTTTCTGTTTTTACCTACTTCATGACAAATATAGTTTTATTGAATCCAGTTTTCTTGGTACTTTTGAATGTACTGCATCTTACTCATAATATAAAACTTCATTTGATTTTAATTTTAATCTTAAATATAAGATTTTAATTCATTTTATCTCTTATATTTATGTATTTTTTTTTCAAGATAGTTTTTCTAATAATGGTGGTTATAGCCAATATACTTGATTAGTAAGGATATTTTAGGAAAGAAAACACCTATTATTACAAATACCTAACTTAACTTATTTTCTTAATATATTTGAATTAGTAAATTAGTTCTAATATTTAGAATGAGAGGTAATATTAATCTTTCATTTTCAACCTAACATTTAAGGAATTGAATTAATACTTGATTAACGATGAACAGGCCGGATGCGAAAGGGATCATTACAAGTGGTACACAGGCACGGCCCATGCTCCAAGCTAAAGCATCACACTTCATCTTCTTCGGTCACTATTCCACACAGTGAAATCCTCAAGCACGACCAAGCCAGGGTGAGATCAATCCATGCCAAGCTTTCCAAAACACACAACCACCATGATGAAGCACAAGAAGCGGCTAAGAGCTACGAGGGGATGGGCCAGGCAAAGCTTCCGGCGAAGTCCGGCATCCTTCTCGGCACCGGAAACTACTTCGTCACGGTGGGGATTGGAAGCCCCAGGAGAGAACTCTCTCTCATATTCGACACCGGCAGTGACCTCACCTGGACCCAGTGCAAACCCTGTGCTCGCTCTTGCTATTCCCAGAAAGAACCCATCTTCGATCCTTCCCAATCTTCTTCTTACTCCAACATCTCCTGTTCTTCTTCCCAGTGTTCCCAGCTTTCTGCTGCCACAGGTATACTTACACACACACACACACACACACACACACACACTCTCTAGTCATGGACATTAATTTTATGTGTTTCGCTCTTATTCATTGAATGGATGATTCTGCAGGGAATGATCCGGGATGTTCTAAGTCGACGGGAGCTTGCATATACGGTATTCAATACGGTGACTCGTCCTTCTCTGTTGGCTACTTCGCTAAGGAAACAGTGACCATATCTCCGACCGACGTCGTCGATAACTTCCTCTTCGGCTGCGGCCAGAACAACGAGGGTCTCTCTTCGCAGCACCGCCGGGCTCCTTGGCCTCGGCCGCAATCCCATCTCCTTCGTCGAACAAACCGCGCAGAAGTACAACAAGATCTTCTCCTATTGCATCCCCTCCAGATCCAGCGCCGTCGGCTACCTCGCCTTCGGTGGCGGACACTCCTCCGGCAACGTCAAGTTCACCCCACTCTCTTCCATTTCCCGGCGCTCCTCCTTCTACGGCATCGACTTCGTAGGAATCACCCTCGCCGGCGTCAAACTCCCGATCGCCGCCTCTACGTTCTCCTCCGGCACCATCATCGACTCCGGCACCGTCATCACGCGGCTCCCCCCGGCGGCGTACGGTCCCCTGAGAGACGCGTTCAGGAAAGCTATGTCCAAGTACCCAAAGGCAAATCCGGTGTCGATCCTGGACACGTGTTACGATCTTAGTAGGTACAAAACCGTTGTCGTTCCGAAGATAACATTGTCGTTTGGCGGTGGGGTGAACGTGGAGTTGGACGCAAGAGGGATCCTATACGTGGTGAGGGAAACGCAGGCGTGCTTGGCGTTTTCTCCGAATAAAGATTCCAGCAGTGCGACTATCCTGGGAAATGTCCAGCAGAAAACACTGGAGGTGGTCTACGATGTTGGGGCTGGTAAGGTTGGCTTCAGACCAGGTGGTTGCATCTAAATAATTAATTAAAAATATATTTAATTAGTAGATTTGATCTTAAAAAGAAGTTAATAGATTGATTCTAAATATAAATAGGGGTGTAAGCATCATCATGAGGACGGATTATTCTGCATGCTTATATGTCTATTTATATATTCACTTTGATCTATTGATTTTTTCACAGACAAGTCTTTTTTAAATGTGTTGTTATATATATATATATATATATATATATATATATGTAGTGTCTGCAATTTCGTTTATAGGATACTAAAAACTTTTATGTTTGCCAAAAGGCAAGTAATTGTTGCTTCTCACAAATGGAGTGTTGGAATATTAATATGTGGTATTGGGGATCCTAAGAGTGGTCTGAAGAAAGTGGTAATTATTAATAAGGATGTGATAGATTTGGAATTGTTAATATATATACTTGAATGATTTACCATTTATGTGAAACAAAATGTAAAATGCTTTTACATATTTTGAGAGTCTCATGAATAAAGCCAGATAGATATTTCATGGGGTGATGTTGGTTTCCAGCTTTCTTTTTACTCTCTTATCATTTGAGCAATTTAACTATTCAATTAAGACATATGTGCATATGTAATGAGATATTTTTCTGGTCTAATTTATAAGTTATTTTTAATTGTTTCACACAGACTAAGAAAAATCTTATATTTTATTAACTCTTTTTAAAATTCAACAACTTTTCAATTTTATTTCTATTTCATATACATTATATCTCATGTAAATAAAGTCAAACTAATAATAAATGAAAAGTAAAATTATACATTTATAGGAAAAAATTTCTCTCAGTGCCTTATAAATAGCATTAAAAAACATCATCTCTCTCTATTTTATAAATAGGATCATGGGAGTAATTAAAAAGGAACATGTTAATTTTAGCTTATATCTGAAAATTCATTATCATCGGTAGAAGGGGAAGGAAAAGACGAAAGGAAATAGAACTAACGACCTATCCGTTAACTGAAATTGATGATTAAAGAGAGGAAATTTAGATAGTGCGACAAATTAATTGGCTTGGTTTTTCCAACATCTACTCGTCAACTCATACGAAGACTCACGAGTGGGCCATTATGTATAGGAAATTTTGATTAGTGGTGGGGGATTCTTTCCCATTACATTAGTGAACAGAACATAATAGGGAAGAAGGCTCTCAAGTGGAGCACTATAATTTGCACCTCATTAATTTTTTCCGCGTCCATTCCACCAACGATATAGGAATTCATCTTATCACAAACACACACAGAGGATTATATTAATAATAATTATTAAGAATTAAAGACATCAATATCTCTAACTTATTTCGCAAAAAATCTTAAGCAATTTAAACACATCATTCCTATGATCACGAAGCAGAACTACAAGAAATAAAGGAAAAAAGCAAACAAAGTTATCTAGTTTGTAAAAATGTAACCTATAATTCATGAGATTATGGATTTAAATTCTCCCGCCAACGTGAAAATTTTGTTGATATGTATAGTCATATGTATACTTAATTTACGCAATCCACGTGTGACTCATCTATACGCAATCCATGTGTGACTCATCTGATATAATATAAATATTACTAAGAAAAGTCATGAAATTTGTCATCTATATAAAAGCCAAGTATCCCGAGTAAGATTTGTATCCTGTGTGGCCTCCTGAATCACACAGAAATTATCCATTCTCTTCTTTCTTTCTATGGCGTCTTCTACTTCTTCTTCCCATCCCTTCCTCTTTTCTGCTCTTTCTCTTTTTTGCCTTTTCTTCTCCTTTTCTAAACGCAAAAGCTTTGTTTCTGCAATAAGAGAAGAAGGCAGTGAGCTTCAACATACTCATGATCGTGTTCCTCTCAGCTCTCTCATCCCTTCTTCCTCTTGCAGCTTTCCTCCTCAAGGTTCTTTTTATCTTCCATTTCTCCCTGTTTTCATTGCATGAATTTTTAATTGATATCAATTTATTTACATGCTTGGCGTTTGATCTCTATAATAACAATACTCTGCATGAGTCTTCACAATTTATCTATATAGTCTCCTGGGAAAATGATATATATATCTGTTTGTGTGTGTGTAACTGATACGGTTTCATAGGCTTGACTTCACAATCTTTTTTGGGCATATGCACAACAGTTATTTGCTATTATTAAATATTTTATTAGCAGTTGGCAAGTTTAGAATTCATGCTCCACTCTGGCCCCAAAAAAACCCTGAAAGAATTTGATAGGAAAGTGCATATTATATTATAGAGAAATCTATTATACATAACTAATATTCATAAACACCGCCAATTGTCGACTTAATTAAATAGATAAACTTCTTCCAGTGTAATTGAGTTAAAATTTGAGAAAGGTTGATGGAATATCACTTAACGAAATACGAAACATACGAGATGAACAGGTACAAAGAGGAATGGATCCATGGAAGTGGTTCACAAGCACGGGCCATGCTCAAAACTGAAGCAACCCTCCTCCTCCTCCTCCTCCTCATCATCTTCTTCTTCATTCAATATGCCACACAGGGAAATCCTCAAGCAGGACGAAGCCAGAGTGAGGGCAATCCAGTCCAAGCTTTCCAAGACACAGCTCCGCCAAGAAGAAGCAAAAGTAGCAGAGACTTCGAAGATGGGGTCAGAAGGGACTCGGCTTCCGGCCAAGTCCGGCCGCCTTCTTGGAACCGGCGACTACTTCGCCACGGTGGGGCTGGGAACCCCCAAAAGAGATCTGTCTCTCGCCTTTGACACAGGCAGTGACCTAACTTGGACTCAGTGTAAGCCCTGTGCCGGTTCTTGCTATCCCCAGAAGGAACCAATCTTCGACCCTTCTAAATCTTCTTCTTATTCGAACATCTCTTGTTCTTCTTCTCAGTGTTCCCTCCTCGTCTCTGCCACAGGTATACATACTAATATATATATATATATATATATATATATATATCAACATCGCATCTTTTTCTGATCTCTTATTCATTTAATACATATTCTCTTGTATCTTTCTAGGAATTAAGCCAGCATGTTCTGCATCAACCAGAGCTTGCATATACGGTATTGAATATGGTGATGGATCCCTCTCCATCGGCTACTTCGCTAAGGAAAAACTAACCGTATCTCCTACCGACGTCTTCGACCAGTTCCTCTTCGGCTGCGGCCAGAGAAACAAAGGTCTATTCCGGGGCATTGCCGGATTGCTAGGCCTCGGTCGCAACGCCCTCTCCTTCGTCGAACAAACCGCCGAAAAGTACCAGAAAAGGTTTTCCTATTGCCTCCCCTCCAGCCCCAGTACTGTTGGTTTTATCGCCTTCGGCGGGAGATTTTCTTTCCGGAACGTCAAGTTCACTCCGTTGTCTACTATCTCCCGGGTTTCCAACTTTTACGGCCTTGACTTCACCGGAATAACCGTCGCTGGTATCAATCTCGCGATCTCCCCCTCCGTGTTCTCCTCCGGCACGATCATTGACTCCGGCACTGTCATCACCCGGCTCCCTCCGGCGGCGTATGGTCCCCTGAGAGACGAGTTCCGGAGACAGATGTCGAGGTACCCGAAGGCTGATCCGTTTTCAATACTGGACACGTGCTATAATCTGAAGGGGTACGAAGTTGTTTACATTCCGACGATATCGTTGTCGTTCGCCGGTGGGGTGAACGTGAAGTTGGACGTAACCGGAGTTTTTTTTGTGGTGAGTGTAGAACAGGTTTGTTTGGCGTTTGTAGCGAATGCGGATGGAGGAGACGTGGGTACCATTGGAAATACACAGCAGAAAACAGTGGAAGTAGTGTACGATGTTGGTGGTAAAAGGGTTGGATTTAGACCTCGCGGTTGCAAATGATGTTTTCTGCACTGAAGTAAAAATGTTACCTCCTTGGTTTATGCCCCTTCTGTCTTTAATATAGGACTCAATTATTAAATTAATTTTGATATTAAATATAAGATCTATTTTTTATATTTATTAATTTTATCTAAATTACCCCTATAGATACTCCCTTAACCATAATTAGATAGAAGAGGGTACTAAGAAAGATGATTATGGTGTTTTAGGAAAAACGTGTCATATTTCTTATAATTAATTAACTTGCCTAACTTTCTTAATCTAATCAAATTAGTTAAATGGGTTTTATATTAAGGATCAGAGGAGTATTACTTTTGCTACTCAATATGAGAGTTTATTTGATTTTTGTTTAATTTTAAATATAAAATTTCAATCTATTATTTTTATGATAATGGTAGTTCTAATACTTAAATTATTCAATTAGTTCTTATATTAAGAATAATATAATTTGTACTATAAATTAGATTTTATTTTTAGAAAATGAGGTAGTATTTAGTAAGATTAGTTTGACCCTGGGGGGGGGGAAAAGGATCGAAGTAAAGAAGAAGATTGAACACAAAGACCAGAAAAGGGTGGAGGAAAAAACAATTAAAGCATTAGAAGCTATTCAATCCTGGGACCTGTGAATTATAGGCTCAGCATGCTTGCGCTGCCCCACTCCGATTTATTTGCATGAAATGCAATATAGTTTATAAGGCTATGTTTGGGATGGTGTTTGGCAATCCAAAATACACGTCCATAAACAAAAATGAGCGTCAAACAAAAAAGAGATGTTTCGAGCACTTTTTTTTTTGTTTCTATAAAAACACATCAACCTCAAGAGCAGCTTCAAATCTAAAACAACTTTTTATTGCTTTTTTTATTTTTATAGTTTTAATTCTGAATTATGTATGAACAAAAAACGACATTCGTATTATTTGGATACTGAATCTCTTAATCATCTTTTCTTGTTAAACGCGCACAAGTGACCAATTACTCATTACTCCTCTCGTCCCTTCACCACCTGTTATGATTCACCAAACAAACATTGAATCAAAACTGGGTTTCCAGAAAAGCAGTTTTAAGCCTCAAAACTGTGTCAGCCAAACATGGACGGAATGAGTCTTTCCCAGATGAGCTAGCTCAATCATTAACTCCGCATCTCCTTTTGTACAGTCAAAATACGTAACTCTGCACACACACACACACACACACACGTGTGTGTGAGATAGTTGCACGGATTTGGATTTCTTCAATTAGTCTCAAATGAGAAGAGAAATAAATAAATAAATTGGAATATGCACGTGTACCTAAAACCCACCATTATTTATATTTCTCTTATTATTCGGGCAATTGAATAATTCAACTGATGAGCGTATCCACATCCTTATTGATGGTGGGACGATGGAAGAAATTAAATGTGAACCAATGTGTGACAAAAAATATAGACAGTGGGAAAAGAATTGTACTGGTTTTCCCATTATCTTCGTTTGACGTATGGGAAGGCTCACAAGTGGAGCAATATATTTTTTTTTTTTGACCAAGGAGCAATGATAGAATTCGAGACCTAAATATTATATGTACGAATAATCTTCCCCCTTGTCATAGATAAATCATTTTTGGATATTCCATTGGATTCTACTAATCTAGATACCATTATGAGTCCCACATTAGAAGCATAAGGCTTTTAAATTCTCCAACTCCAACGGCTGACTTTTGGAGTGCGGTTCTTCTAAAGACCTGTACTCACCGATATACATGCTATTTTATTAGATTATATGGGTAGATGCGGACATATTTTATGAGTAGTTGTTCTAAATGCAATTTGTTTTTTTAATAAAAAACAATACTTGAATTTAAGACCATACTCAAAGGAAATATGTCAAATAATCATTTAATTTGAATAAATTGTGTTGGTTGAGTATCATATTAGTTGAGTGAAAAGCACAAATTTTTGTGTGCATGTATCCTCTATATATGAACATTTCAATTTAGTGATATCATTATTTAATTTATCATTTGAATATTTTTCGTAGTAACATTAATTTGCAAACATATAAATTCCTTATGATAATGTAACTTGTATGATGTTTCGATATCGAACTATATTAGTGGCCCACTTGTAAGAGCCTTCCTATGCATTCACAAGTGTAATGAGAAAACCTAATACAGTTTATCCCTCTATATCTATATTTTTGTGGCCATCTCTTCACTTCAAAATATTTTTTAAAAAGAAAATGGGAAATAAATCTGGCCTATTCCCTTTTTAGATGCATTTTCCATTTTCTTTATTCAAATCGAATCGGAAAGATGCTGTTTCAAAAGGATTGTTTCACCAACCAAATCCACAAAATTAGTCATGCACATGCTTATTTGGCTGTTTTTAAGTTGGAGTGAGAGAATTGCTTTTATGAGATGGTGACTAAATTTCTAAAACATTCATTAAGTGCAACAGGTGCTAACTACAAGAATGAAAGTAGAGTAAAACAACATAAAGAACAAGATTTGTGAGGGCATACGATGATAATACCTCTAATTTAATTTGGTTAGTTATTTGTAATATATAGGTATTATTTTTTTAAGCTTAATCATGCGTATTGAAATAATTCTTAGGATTACTATAGAGATTATTTGAAGGCAAAACATATAAGTATGGGATACAAAGGACTGGCTTTATTCTTGATGACTTCCCTGTGAAGCAAATTTGATTGTGAAGTTGACTTTGAAGACTTTTGTCATTACAGATGAAGGTCTCATTTGGTATCATGTTTAAAATTACTTATGAGCACGTTTCATATAAGGTGAGACAAAATTATTCTCATATTCTTACCTTGTACCTTGTATTCCGTAAATCGTGATTGGAAAACTAGAAAAAACTGTTTATAAACTATTCTAAACTCATCCAAAGTCTTTTGGTTTGGTCAAGTTTCAATGGAAGATATGAATATCATGCAACTTTTTTTTCCCCTTTCATAAGGGATGTGTAATGATTTATACATGCCAGATGATATTTTTTTAAAATATATATAATTAGTAGATTTGATCTTAAAAAAATTAATAGATTTAAATTATAAATAGGGATGTGAGCATTATCATGAGGAAGGATTATTCTGCATGCTTATATGTCTACTTATATGTTCACTTTGATCTATTGATTTTTTCACACACAAGTCTTGTTTAAATGTGTTGTTATATATATATATATATATATATATATATGTAGTGTCTGCAATTTCGTTTATGGGATACTAAAACATTTATGTTTGCCAAAAGGCAAGTAATTGTTGCTTCTCAATAATGGAGTGTTGGAATATTAATATGTGGTATTAGCACTACTACAAAATGAAAAATACTAGACGGTTATTTTGGATCATATTTGACGGTTAAAAACCGTCAACTATACTGGCGTCATATATTTCAACAGCAAATATTTGACGGTTATTAACCGTCAAATATTTAAATCATACTTGACGGTTACTAGAGAAAGACCGCCAATTATTTTGAGATTATACTTGACGGTTCCAAAAACCGTCAAGTATTCTGTAATACTTGACGGTTCCGTAGAGTGACCGTCAAGTATTATAAACATACTTGACGGTTATTTTTGAAAAACCGTCAAGTATTATTTAATACTTGACGGTTATAAAAGTAACCGTCAAGTATGTTATAATACTTGACGGTTTTAACTAATAACCGTCAAGTATTATTCGTTTTTTTTTAAAAATTCGTTCTCCTTTGCCAGCAACCCCCTGCAATTTTGAAACCGATAACAAAGGCTCATTCAACAGAATCATGCAGGCTAGCATTCAAACCAATTCAGCCATATCCATATATGTTAATGAACCGAAAATATTTTACATTATCATATATATACATGAACCAATGAAAACCAACTGTGATATATTAAAATTCTGGCAAGTACAAAAAGGTGAACCAATTCCAAAATTAGCCAATTGTCAAAGTTGTGCAATGCCTAAAACTAACCAACAGCCAAAAATGAACCAAAACCAAAATTATATTGAAACCAAAGCTAGCTGTACGTACATACACTGTCTTAATGTACACTTCCCTATCTATGTTGTGCCCACTGACGGAATAAGGCCATCGCCAACTCCTCAACGATTTCTTCCATCTGAGCAGATGAATACACTGTGCAATATGTGTCGGCAAAGTACTATATGCAACCACAAATTATGACTTAAGTTAGATAGAAATGTAAAGCTACAGTAAGTACAATAATTCTTAAATATATAAATTGAACCTTAACAAATGCATATTACCTGTGTGGGAATTGAGTCAGCATTGTGCAGAATTATCTCCTTCATAAATTTCATCACGCAATATCCACAATGGGAGCTCTTGTTGGGCTGACGTGGGCACTGTAAAGAATGGAAAAGGAAATAATATTAGTCAATCATATAAATAAACCATATTTAGTAGAATAGTAAATCATGGTAGTGAATACCTTCACTTTCTTCCACGGGAAGGTATCGTCAAATCGGCCATTTTTTACCGGGGGGCAGGGTAAGGCCTGATTTGTGCGGTATAGCCACAAAGCCCTGAGAAGACAATAAAATTGAATATTAATGATTGTCAAAAATTTGATTGAAGCAAGAAATTAAATTAAATTTAAATAATAGAGATAAATATTACTTGTTGAACAATGAAACCATAAATGGTCGATTGGTTAGATCCCCATGAAGAGAATCAAGATACCAAATCCTCGGCTTTGTGGGATTGACCACAATCAGCATCCAGTGTCCCCTAAGTATAAGAAAGACAATTAGAACTATTACAAATTATTTTGAAAATGAAAGAATTTAGGAAAGTTTACCCTTGACAATAAGGCGCCAAAAACAAAGTCTGAGCCCCCGGTGTTGCCCTAGAAATGAAGATATCTAATAAGTCTCTGGATAAGTCTTTCTTCATATTAGGTCCGTGGCCAGCAAAAGTGTGGGGGCTGATAATCTTGAACTTGTCATCAAGGCCACCAGGGGCTATGAAGTTCTTGAAAGATATCTAAATCAACAAACGAAGATATCAATAGAATAAATGTTCAAGTACTTAAGTATTTAGTTAAGGTTTTAACAAATACCTGATATAAAAGTTACAGGCATTTGTGCTGGCCATTCCATGCGTCAGAATCTCTTTCAATACTTCATTTGTGACATAATCTGACGAGGGTCGACCGTATACCTCTGGCTCAAACTCTAGGGGAATCATGAAATCCTCGCCATGTTCTAATCTAGCCCCAATTGCATATTCCTCAAGACATATTCGGAATCTTGATGATACCACTTGAACGGGCTCAGAGGGCTACTTCTGTGGTAATGATAATGAGTGATCACTAGAGTCGGTAATATGGGTTGAGCCCGCGGGCTCAACCCACCAACCCGCCAACAAGTGGCGAGTTGGGTTGATAAAAATTAGGACCGTTTTAAAATGGAAGTTTTGAGCCCATAACCGCCAAGCCCAAACCCGCGGCGGGCTAACCCGCAGGGTTGGCGGGCCAACCCGTTTAACCATATTTTTTTTTGGGCAAATTTTTCCCTTTGCCTCTCAGTCTCTACACTCTTGGCCTAGTCCACAGTGCAACAGTGAGCAATCCATGTCCAATAGTCTAACACGGCAACACCAACACGGTCCCATTTTCACATTTTGCTTGCGTGTCGCACTCCTCCCAGACTCCCAACTCTCCTAGACCCAGTCTCCCAGTTGCCCTCGGCCAGTCCCAACTCCCAAGTCCCAAGTCCAAAGCCCCAAGCTCTCTGCTCTCTATCTTTGCTTTGCGCCTTTACCCTAGCTCATGAGTGATGATTGAGCACTTGATAGTTGATACTTGATAGTGATTTGTGTAGTGACATTGTGTTTGTGACTTTATGGTAGTGTTAATTTGGATTTATGTTTTAATTTGAGATGTTTGTTAAATTATTAAGGACATATCATGTTCATTTAATCATATGTTTAATATTTTGATATATTTGAAACTTAAAACTTGAAACTTTGGATGGGTTCCATGTTTTATTTATGATAATTTCTATTTGTATGTTTTATTTTAGGTATTTAGGAATTTGAGACTTTGAGTAGGTTTTATTTAAAAAAAGTAAAAAATAAAAAATAAAAAATAAAATTTGGCGGGTTGGCGGGTTAGCCCTTGCGGGCCGGGTTGACAAAATCCCAGCCCGTCAGAAAGCGGTCTTAAAAAGCCCAGCCCGCTAAGTTTCAGGCCCGCCACTGGCCAACCCATAATCGGCGGGTTGGCCCATATTACCGGCTCTAGTGATCACCCAATAGGCTCTTCTTCCCCTTAGACTGACAAACAGACTGTTAGTAATTAAAATAGAGTTTATTTTAAATCAGCTGAATTTGTAGACCTATACATATATACCTTTGAAGGATGTCCTAATGTAAGAAGACGGCCAGGCCAAGCGACAAAGCTACCCACTGCTTGAGCCACTGTCTCTGCATCTGGGGTGGGAATCGGGAGGGCATAATTCGCATCAATAGCAGTGTTCAACTGCACCCTCACATGATCAGCAGGGAGAGGAACATTATGAATTATACTCTCCCCCGGTAAATTGAACATGCGGCCCGTTGCAACAGTGTGATGTTTAGGGCTATCCGCCATACACTGAACGTCCGCTTCACCCTGATTTGTTTAACATAAGAGACAAGTTAGCTAGATATATAAATTATTGAATGTAATTATATAAACACAAGTATTATACCTCAGGTAGCAAGGGGAATGTGCAGCTGTCTTTGCCACTTGGGCTGAGATTCGGAGCCGGCTGTGGTGCTTGATTCTTGATCAACTGCTCGATTAGGAGCGCTTGCACTTTAACCTGCTCCTTTAACGAGCGTGTTTCTTCCTTCAGCTCTATGAACTCAGCAGAGGAAGGCGTGCACGATGAAGAGGGCTTTTGTCGGTACCCAAAGTAATCTCTCTTGGTGACTCCATAACCGACACCCCTAAGAAGACCAGGATGGTCAGGAGTCCCCAATGCCCTCCTCAATATATCCTGGTCATCTGCAGAATATGCCCCCTGCGAAACTTCCTGGGACAAACTCTCCTGTGCAACAAACATTGATATAGTTATTCATACTTAAAGATATTTGACAATAACGTGAAGATTATTTAATTTAGAATAATACTCACCATCCTGTCCACGACCTCCTTAACGCGAGGATTATCAATTTGGCCATCTTTATTTTGCCTGGCCAGTGCCCACAGCATCTGACGTGATACAGTGACATCTGATCCCTCCTGCTGAGTCACCTCTTGCTCAAGGCCCGCATAACCCAAGCGGCCCTTTCGGTAGGGATACTCATTCTTCTTTACTCTTTCCTTATTTTGGGAACTTAATTCCTACAAAAACAAAGTAGATTCACAATTAAACAATATATAGATTAAACAAAATGGACTATTTAATATCAAAAAGAGCGAGGATTATTACTTGAAATTGCCTATCACGACGTGACGTCACAAAAGCAGCCCAATCCTCTGGTTTGACCAAGTCCCGTATCAAGCTAGGAACATGGGACTCGTCGGCTGTGGAAGGATCCTTCAAGGACTTGTGTGTGACAAAATATCGGAAAGAGCGTAGTGCCCTCCCAGCCTTCCCCTCCACAAACCTCTTCCTACTCTCATCTATATCAAATGCAGACTGCAAAACATATAAAACAACACATTAGTGTCACGCAGCTTGTAAGAAAACGAAATTTGAGTTATAATATATTACCGATACATCTGTCCAAATAGTGTCTCGCACTGAACGATCAACCCTCCTCCAATGCTGCACTGTAATGGGCACGGTGCTTCGTGCCACTGCCCCAATATAGCTGATAAATTTATTTGACCGTACAGCTTGTCCTTTCTTATTCCACTGTACGGCAAATTTCTTTCCTTCTGTTCGAGCTTTCACGACCTCTTGCATGACACAAAGGCCCCTCTGTATGCGTGCTGCCTCCTCTTGCAACTGTCTCTCCTGCTCAGAGGCATCTCTCGGCTGAGATGGGTTATCGGTGCTAGATCCGCTATCGTCTGCCATTTGCAATGAAATTGAAGTAAACAAAATGAATCAGAATCCATTAAATGAAAATAAAGTCATTAATGACGAAATTTATTTGAACAAAATTAAAACAAATAAAAGAATCAAAGAAAATAATGAGAGAATTTACATGCATGTTTAAGAAGATCTTTTTCTTTTTCTACTCTTATGTTTTTGCATGTTCTTCTTGGTTTGAATTGTTTTGATCTTCTTACGAAACACTTTCCCCCTCTTTGAAATCCATATTTCGTCGTTGTGATCATGCCTAACATACATGGATTGATCTTCATTTAAATGAGAATCAAGTGAGGCCCCTTGAAATGGATCATCTTCAATTGCATTGTCTTCATACCCCGTCTCTTCAATATCCATTTTATTAGTCAACAAAACAATAGACTATCCTTTGGCAGCCGGGTCAGGGACATAAAACACTTGCGTAGCCTGAGAAGCCAAAATGAATGGCTCTTCCTTGTATCCTTCTTTATTCAAATTCAATTGTATAAACCCTAAGTCATCAATCCTCAATGCATTATTATTATCCACCCATTTGCAACCAAATACCGGAACTCTGAATTCAATGTAATCCAACTCCCAAATATCCTCAATCACTCCAAAGTATGACATACGTGCATAGATAGGATTTTTATCTTTGGCACTCGATATATGCATGGTATTAGCTACAAGAGTTACGCCACTATTTTGCTGTTTACTCCGATCATCTTGTTGTTTAGTATAGAAAGTGAATCCATTCATAAGGTAGCTTGTGAAAGAAATCACATGTTTGCTCGGTCCATCTGCCAACAACTTTAATTTCTTCAAAACAGAATTAGGATCATTATTATACTTGCCATGCACATGCTCTCTCAACCATGCTGTAAATTGTTTATTGTGTGTTTTGGTGTACCAACTTTCAAGTTTATTGGGATTATCCCTCTTTAGCTCATCAATATGCTCATGCACATAGTCCTCAATCTCTTCGGAGTTGTGCAATACATATAGATGTGCCTGCTCCCACTGTTGGTTTGAAATAGTTACGACTTTCTTTCCCATAATCCCTTCTCCATCTGTCCTTCCCTCATGACGAGACATTGGAACCCCAATATCACTTGCATTTTTTAAGTAATGGGTACAAAATTCAGTAGCCTCTTCACAAATATATCGTTCTACAATACAACCCTCTGGCCGACTTCGATTTTTCACATACCCTTTCAATATTTTCATGTAACGCTCAACTGGGTACATCCATCTTAAATACACTGGGCCACACAATTGGACCTCTCTAACTAAGTGGATGGTTAAATGGACCATGATGTCAAAAAAAGCCGGAGGAAAATACATTTCAAGTTCACATAACGTAACTATGATTCGGGTTTGCAATCTTGGCAATTTACTAGGATTAATCACTTTGCTGCAAAGAGACTTAAAGAAGAAACATAACTTTGTGATCGTAACTCGTACCTTATCAGGTAAAATAGCCCGTATTGCCACTGGAATAAAGTTTTCCATTAAGACATGACAGTCATGAGATTTTAAACCTTTTAACTTCATATCCTTCATTGACACAAGGTTACTAATGTTAGAAGAGTAACCTTCCGGCACTTTTACTGAAGCAAGAAACTCACAAAAACTACTTTTCTCTTTTCTAGAAAGGGTGTGAGCTGCCGGACGAAGAAATGTACGAGTTCCCTTATCCTCTGGTGCCAATTCCTCCCTTATCCCCATTTCAACCATGTCTAGCCTGGCATTTATGCCATCTTTAGTCTTCCCGGGAATATGGAGTAATGTGCCAAACAGACTTTCACATACGTTTTTCTCAATATGCATAGCATCAAGAAAATGTCTCACATTCAGGGTTATCCAATACGGCAGTATAAAGAAAATAGACCTCTTCTTCCACCCACTTGTCCCAACATGCTTGCGAAAGGTTTTCCAAATTCACAATCTATATCTTTCACCTTTTGAAATACATCCTCCCCAATCAACGGTGTTGGTGCCTTACCTTCTTCTGAATTCCCATTAAAATATTTTTTGAATCGCCGGTAAGGATGATCACGATGCAACCATCTACGATGTCCCATATATGAATTTTTCATTCCATGCTTCAACCTTATGGAATCTGTGCTCTCTTCACAAATGGGACAACCAAGTTATCCTTTAATGCTATACCCTGAGAGATTACCATATGCAGGGAAGTCGTTAATTGTGCCAAATAACATAGCTCTCAACTTGAATTTTTCTTCCTTATATGCATCATATACATCAACTCCATTCTCCCACAATACTTTCAAGTCTTCAATTAATGGAGCTAGATATATATCTATGTCATTTCCAGGTTGCTTTGGCCCAGATATTATCATAGACATCATTGAATACTTGCGTTTCATGCATAGCCATGGAGGAAGGTTATATATAAACAAAATCACTGGCCATGTGCTATGGGTGCTGCTTTGCATCTCATAAGGGTTCATCCCGTCGGTAGCTAATGCAAGGCGTAGATTTCTATCTTCTTCCCCGAATTCAGGATACTCAATATCAAACTTCTTCCATTCTGGAGAATCAGCAGGATGGCGAAGCATGCCATCTTTAACCCTTTCATCTGCATGCCATCTTAAATTTTTCGCATCTTCTACATTACTATACAAGCGTCTGAATCTTGGCACTATGGGAAAATACCATAATGCCTTCTTCGAGCTCTTCCCATTCTCTTGGTAGCGTGATGCATTACACTTAGGACACTCAGTTAGTGACTTATACTCCTTCCTAAACAAAATGCAATCATTGGGGCAAGCATGTATCTTCTCATAGCTGAGGCCGACAGAGCGCAACACTTGCTTTGCATCATACGTTTTACTTGGAAGCTCATTTTCTTTCGGTAGCATTTGTTTAACAAGCAACAGCAGTTCTGTGAAGCCTGTGTCGCTCCACCCATTTCTTGCTTTCAAATTATACAGTTTCAACACTGCAGACAATTTTGTGAAATCAGTACAACCTTCATATAGAGGTGTCTCAGCATCACACTTCAATCTATCAAACATTTCAGGACAATCGTCAAGTTCCCGTTCAATCGCATCTGTCATCTCCTCAAGACGATCAGCTTCACATGTACTCATGTCAAGATTAGATGATCCACAGCTTTCACTATGCCCTCGACTACTATTACTCACATCTCTTGTCTCTCCGTGCTTTGTCCAACACTTGTAACTTTGATCAATTCCATTGATAATTAAGTGGCTCTCACAATCGGATGGCGAAACCCACTTCAAAAGGCAACACTTAAGACAGGGACAAATAATCCTGTTGCGATCATCGGCGTGCTCAATCGCAAACTTAATAAAATCTTCTACCCCATCCCAATATTCTTTTGATAGACGATTGGCGGACATCCATTCTTTGCCCATGGTCCCCGACTAAGATGAATCATTTACAGGAAAATGTGATTAGTGACTCAAAGATATTATGAGAATTAAACAAAAATAGAAAGTCAACACGAGTCACTATTGATCACATTTATCCCTCTTTAATTCTACTTGCTAACAACTAGTAGTTGTTAACAACTAGTAATTCAACAAAAATTTACTTTCATTTCAGTTTGAAAAATATTCTACTACTACTAATGTGCTATTCCATTCGAAAAAAATTCGACAGCATAACAGCTTATAACTTAGAATTCCCCAGGCTTTATGGCAGAAAACCAAACCAGCACATAGTCAATTTCAATTACAAAAACAAAAATTGAAACATTAGCATTGCATTCCCCAGACTTTATCGTGAAAACAAAAAACTAAAACACCCTAAACCCAAACTGATCAAAATGCGAAACACCCATTTAGAATCAAGAACAGAAAAGAAAACCCATTTGGCCAAATAGCAAACCCATTTTCCGTGTGTGCATGGTGAACGGTCCTAGCATTATCCTATCATTCCCTTTCCACTACAATCATTTCTCAAAGGAAGAACTAAAGGAAATAAGGGGACCGAGTGAAGCATTACCAACCTGGAGCCGAAATGACAATCTGGAGAAGCAGGAGGATGCTGCAACGATAATGGAGGACACCGAGAGGGACGATGATGGAGGACGAGCAAGGACGGGCACAAAAACCAAAAGGGAACGGCCGAAACAGAGGTGGGTACGGCGGCTTGGAGAGTCCGAAGCGGAAGGGGGCGCAATCGGGAGAATGCACGCACAATGACAAAGCAGGAGGATGCCGCACCGATAATGGAGGACACCGAGAGGGATGATGATGGAGGACGAGCAAGGACGGGCAAAAAAAGCAAAAGGGAACGGCCGAAACAGAGGTGGGTACGGCGGCTTGGAGAGTCCGAAGCGGAGGGGGCGCTAGAAATTTTGAACTGAAGAGACTGAACAGGGGAAAGGGACGGGTTTTTAAGCACAATACTTGACGGTTTCTATTGATAACCGTCAAGTATTCTCAAATAATATTTGACGGTTTTAGATCAAAACCGTCAAGTTTACCTTTAATATACTTG